CATAACTTAACTTATCTCACTTAACTTAGCTTAACCTAACTTAACCTAGCTTTGCTTCACTTAACATAAATCATCTCATTTAACTTATTTTATTATATCTTCTCTCACTTAGCTTAGCTTGATTTAGCTTAGCTTAGCTTAGCTTATCATATTTTATCTCACTTAACCTAACTTAGTACAACTTATCTTATCTCACTTAACGTATGATATAAAACATAATACTTTAAAAAGCTTGATTCGTTTTGAAAATATAATTTTTTAATTTAAGTCTAAATTTCTTGCAATATGACAACAATGTCACATATTCATTATTCCATTTCTTTATTCTTTATTAATACGTAGTATTTTGTTATGTAGTTTTTCTGTTTTCTTTTTATTCCAGATGCTTTGACAGTTTTGTTCAGACGACATAAATGAAAATAAAGCAACCAGTGACCAGTTAGCTCGCTGTCAGCAGAAATGTCCCTGAATTGCTCCACTATAATATAAAGTAGCTGCAGGAACCTCTTTATTAATCCCCTGTGCCTGGTCCTGTGTGCAGCCTGCCAGTGCGACCACAGAGGAACGGTGTCGGGCAGCTCCCAGTGCGACCCGGTCAGTGGAGACTGTTTCTGCAAACGTCTGGTGACCGGACGCAGCTGTGATCAGTGTCTGGTGAGATCACACACAGACAACAACACATCAAACACGTCAGATATCCAAATCTGTCAGGTTCTCTCGCTCTGCTCGTCTCTTTTTAATTCTCTCTATGATATTAGTGATGATGAATGATGTGACAGAGAACAATGGTTCTCAACATTCTCTGATTTGTCTGAATTTTTCTGTGAACATGTTTAAGAGTATTTTAGATATTTTATCCTGATATATCAAATACTTTACAAGATCTTTTTTTTAAGCTGTCTGACTGGCTGTTGAGTGTTTTCGCTGTTTGTCACTTTATTTTATTTTTTCTGCAGTTTCACTCATGTTTAATATTTCCATGACAGACAGAGGTGGGAACCGGGAACAAGAGCTGTTCGTTTCTTTTTGTTTGACCACCTTTGTCACTTGATAATCCTGTTTTTGGCCTCACACACGGCTCGGTTTAACCGCTCCTGTACACCGAATATGTAAATATAATGTACTTTCCGACATTAGAGCTGCTTCACTCCTCCGTCTCCAGTTTTTCTCTCCACCCTGAAGCCCGTTCGGCGAGGTGCCGATCAGCTTCCTGTAATAATTCAGCCCCTTGTCCTGAACCCACCGAGCCAGGAATAGCGTTGGCAGGAATGCGAGCTCCTGCCGGGGTCGCGCGTCTAAATTTAGCCCAGGGATCGGAGGCTCGTCCGGTTGGTGTGGGCTTACAGCAGGCCTAACATGGGCAGGCCTGGACCCGGTCCGAAAGGGGATCCGGTGTGCGTGATGAGCCTCAGTTTGGAAACAATAAAGCTGAGAACGGAAGAAGTGTTTTAAGAAAGAAACAGAGAGAAAGTGCCTCCCTGTCGCTGTGGTGGAGCTGCACTGAAACACCAAAAACTGCATCACTGAAGAGTTACGGTCGATTTTATGACCATTTCTACCTGAAGTGAGAGAAAATACAGGCACAAAAACAGCTTATTGTTGTAAAGTTGAACTGAATTCATGCAAATAGAGAAGAAGAATAACCAGATTCTGTAAAAACATGGAGATAAAACTGGATCACGCAGCTCTTTCTGAGATAGAACAAGTGAAGTGACGATGCCCCGAAGCTGTGAATGTTGTTTTTACTGGACGGCAGATGGAAACAGTGTCGCTCATTATGTTCAGTGGAAGTTCCCCCGTCGGTCCAGAATAGAACCAGAACTGTCTGCTGGGTGTCCGTCAGTCACTCTGTCCGTCCTTCTGCCCCTCCAGCCGGAGCACTGGGCGCTGAGCCACGACCTGAACGGCTGCCGAGGCTGCGAGTGCGACGTCGGTGGAGCCCTGGACAACCAGTGGGTGGCGCTCTGGAGTCGTTCACTCACAACACTCACGAATGGATTCACATCACAAACAACGCAAAGTCCAGCCGAACTCTCAAAGTGTTTAATTCAGTTTTCAATGTATATATATATATATAAGTGTGACACGCGACTTGGTTCTAATACGACCAAGTTTTATCAAATAAACCAAAACAGACACTTTTAATGCAAATCCTGACCCAAAAAAAGGAAATTAAATTCTAGGAAACATGAATGTGACTTTCACTTTTAAAACCAACCCAGCTGGATTTATTTATTTATTGTTCTGAATAACATTCTGAGGAAGTTTTTGTAATGTTCTCAGCAGGACGTTCCCAGAATGTAAGTTTAAAGGCAGGATAAAGTTCTCTAAAGATGCCTTTAAAAATGTTCTCAAAACATTTTTTTTTCACATGTTGCATTGAAAACGTCCTTCCTTTGTTATCTTGTTAATGGGGAACGATTTCTAGAAGAACGTTCTCAACAGCAACATCCCCAAAACATCCTCAGAACATTGCAGACAANTACCGATGGTCATTAAGGCCAAACAGTTCAGGTTTAGTTCCATCAGACCACAGGACATGTCTCCACTGATGAAGGTTGCCATTAACATTACAGGAAAATGCGTAATTTGTCCGAGTGTTCGTGCAACTACGGCGACTAGCTCCGTGTTCATATCGAGGGAAAGTGAAATATCAGCGCCGACTAACTCCTCTCGTCCTTCCAGAGTGTAGCTGCAACAGCCACTCGTCCGTGTGCCACTTCGACATGGCGGTTTTTCTGGCCACGGGAAACGTCAGCGGTGGAGTTTGCGACGACTGTCAGCACAACACGATGGGACGCAACTGCGAGATGTGCAAACCGTTCTACTACAAAGACCCCATCAAGGACATCAGAGACCCGCGGGTCTGCATCGGTGAGTGTTTGGGACGCAGCTTCGTGAGGATTAGTTTGTTATAGGATTAGATTTGCACAAACGGGAGGTTCGTCACAAATATCTTCATAAATATCTACACTTTATGCTGTAAATAATTCAGGCAAATTTAAAGATGGTGGAGCAGAAATAGTTTTAAGAATATTATGATTTCAGACTGAGTGATGAAGCTGCTTCATGTCTATTCTCTGTTTGCTGCAGCTTGTGACTGCGACCCCGACGGTTCCCAGAACGGAGGGATGTGCGACAGTCACACCGATCCTTCCCTCGGCATGGTGGGAGGTCAGTGTCGCTGCAAAGCCAACGTCGAGGGTCCGCGCTGCGACAAGTGTAAGACCGGCTTCTTCGGGCTGAGCGCAGAAAACCCTCAGGGCTGCCAGCGTGAGTATGAACTCTGGTAGAAATACCTCCGTGATGCTGTCATGTAGTCGTTACTAAACACAGTTATTTACACACGTGTTTAAATGACCAGTTGTGTTGTACACTCAGAATGAACGAATGTGTGTTGTTGTTGTTATTGTGTGTGTGCTTGAGTGACATAGTTATGAATTGTTAGCTGTATTTAAATAGCAAATGCTGCAGATGT